GATAATTGATTTATTTGTCTATCTATTCTTCATTTTGCTGCCATTCGCATTAGATTAATTTACATATAAAAATAGGCAAGCACACGCGCACACATAGCATACTTACATTTACTTATAAATTAGTAAGGAAATAGATGAAATAATTTATTTATATGTATATATATATATATATATATATATATATATATATATATATATATATATATGCATATGTGTGTGTGTGTGTGTGTGTGTGTGTGTGTGTGTGTGTGTGTATGTGTGTATGTGTGTGAATTTCATTCATTACACTTACTCAGACACAAAAATGAGGAAAACTCAAGTAAAATGAAACAGGAATGTCTTTAAGAATTAAACTTTTCAACATTCCTTTGCAGTCAAAGAGAGAAGCAACATAGAAAGAGATTGTGAGAAATGATCAAAGTTCGACAGTTAATGAAAAGAATCTTTGGCCCTTTAGATGGGAGGTCAGTCGCTATGGTTTCTTTATAAATAACGTTTTGTTTGTAATTGAAAAAATCTGTCCATTTTTCTATCTGTGCATTTCCTGTATGTGTGGTGTACGATTTGTTTGTTCATTTGTTTGTGTATGTTTAGCTGTCTGTCTATGTAATTTTCTGTGTGTCTTTTTATCTCCTTATTTAACTGTCTGTATCTTTATCTGTATCTGTTTATTTATTTATCTAGCTATCTATCCGTTTATCCAGTTATCTGTCTAGTGATAGTGTCTGTGTGTTTGTGTGTGTGTGTGTGTGTGTGTGTGTGTGTGAGTGTGTGTGTGTGTGTGTGTGTGTGTGTGTGTGTATGTGTGTGTGTGTGTGTTTGTGTGTGTGTGTGAAATCAGTGCATTTTTGTGCCATTTTGTGTAAATTTGTGGTTGTTAATTGTATATGTGTAAGTGGCACATATGTTATTGGTCATATTTACATAGCATCTCTCTCTCTCTCTCTCTCTCTCTCTCTCTCTCTCTCTCTCTCTCTCTCTCTCTCTCTCTCTCTCTCTCTCTCTCTCTCTCTCCCTCTTTCTCTTCCTCTCCTCTCTCTCTCTCTCTCTCTCTCTCTCTCTCTCTCTCTCTCTCTCTCTCTCTCTCTCCTCTCTCTCTCTCTCTCTCTCCTCTCCTCTTCCTCTCCCTCTCCCTCTCCCCCCCCCCCCCCTCTCTCTCTCTCTCTCTCTCTCTCTCTCTCTCTCTCTCTCTCTCTCTCTCTCTCTCTCTCTCTCTCTCTCTCTCTCTTTGTCACAGAAACTCCGAGCTACCAGAGAATTAAACTTAATTCTCTCCTGTGACCACAAAGAGTAGCTTTCATATTCAGTGAAATCTTTCGTAATCCCATGAATAAATCTCATGCATCTCCCTTGAACTATAAAATGCATTTCGTGCCATGCATTCGCTGTGCATAACCGATGATCTGGGATCTATTTGCTCTAGTGTAAAGCCAATTTTTTTTTTTAAATATTCGATTTATTTTCCTTCTTTTTTTTGACGAATTTCCCTCCTCTTTCTTATCGCTAGTTATATTTTGTAAGCATGTGTGATGTATTTTTTTTTACTCTAAATAGATAGATAGAGAAAGAGAGAGAGAGAGAGAGAGAGAGAGAGAGAGAGAGAGAGAGAGAGAGAGAGAGAGAGAGAGAGAGAGAGAGAGAGAGAGAGAGAGAGAGAGAGAGAGAGAGAGAGAGAGAGAGAGAGAGAGAGAGAGAGAGGGAGAGAGACAGACAAGACAGACAGAGAGATAGAGACAGACAACCAGAAAGACAGGCAGACAAACAGTGAGAGATAAAAAGAGAAACAGCCAATCAGACAGACACGCAAAGTCAGCCTAAGACAAACACATAGACAGAGACACATTGGCAAACAAAGAGAAAGAGAGAAAAGGAGACAGCCAGACAAACAGGCAGGCATGCAGGGAGACAGGCTGATAGATAGACACACACACGCGCGCGTGCAACAAACAGACAAACAAACAAACAAATGTACACAGAGAGTGCAAGGAAGAAAAAGACAAAATAACGAGAAAGAGTCAGACACAGAGAGAGAAAAGGAAAAAAACAAAGAATCAAAGAGAGAGAGAAGGACAAAGACAGAGACAAGGAGAGAGAAGGACAAAGACAGAGACAAGGAGAGAGAAGGACAAAAACAGAGACAAGGAGAGAGAAGGACAAAGACAGAGACAAGGAAACACAGAGAACACAAGCGTTATGCTAATTTTAACAAAATCCGAATAGAAACGATAATAAATATTTTAATACGAAATAGATTATTACCCGGACGGAGAGAACACAAACTTCTAACTGATTTCAATAATTTGATAACCCGGTGAAAGAATCAATTTTTTTTTTTTACAGAAATCAATAAGGAAAGCTTTGCAATTGCACTATTGATGTTACAATCACTTGTTATGCAATAAATTGACAACTATTGTTGAAGGATGCGTTGGGATTCTATATTGATTTCTTGTTTCTAACGAAACCATTGTAATGCTGAGAAGAATGCAGATGCAACAGCAAAAATATGAAGATGAAAATGAAGACGAAACAGAAAAATAGGAAAAAGAAGGAGGATGGGGAAGAGGAGGGGAAAAACAAATAAAATATGAAGGAGGATGGGGAAGAGATAGAGAAGAAGGGGAAGACGAAGAAGAGGAAAAATAAGAAGGAAGGTGGGGAAGAAGAGGAAGAGGAGAAGAAGAAACATAATTAGCAGGATGGGAAAGAGGAGAAGGAG